GGGGGGGGTTGGACGAGCTATACAATGTGTGTTAGTGCGTACGTGTGGGTCCTGGTGCGAACAATTGATTACGGTAGGTAAAAATTCATTCACTCATAAGCAAAGTTAACAAAACCCTAATAACAGCAGAAGTAGCCCAACTTCTCCAGCCACATGGGATAGAGAATTAAATGAGGGATCCCAACAGCGAACAGGGTAACAGAGAATAAAAGAATTGGAGGAAATCAACACCTCGTTATTCGGCCATCAGCTGATTGTGTGTGGGTTCTAGAGCGAAAATTTGCAATCTGTATCATCTCGACACTCGAGTGACGTGACATTAATCGAGGGGTGGGAAAGCCCCGCGAGCCAGCAACAGGGAATTATGGTGCCTTTGAAGAAACAGTTGTAGCCAGAGGAGAGACCCGTTTGGGGTCTTTGTCGCAGACTCAGAAGGAGGTAGTAGTTGCTGAGTGGGAATACCAGAGAAATACAAGCATGGCTAAGGTGATGGAAACAAAAATACTACACTTGGCGGTCAGTACGGCGCGGTTGAACAGGCAATTGCAACGGTACAACAAGGGAGCCTCTTTCGTGGTCCCTAGAATGCCTTAAGCCTGCGTTTGACGGTAGCGCCACGCAAAGTCTCGGACAAAAGCAGTATTCGTAGGACCGGTCTCAGGCTCAACGTGAAGAGAAAGGTCTGGAGACGTCCAAAGCAACGCCTTCTTTATAATATGCTTGAGCACTTCGGATTAGTTGGCCTTACGTTACTCTTTATTTCATCAAGCGTTTACTTTTGTAAGGTGGTGTCTACACAAAAATAGACCCCGCTAGCACGTGAAAGAATCGGAGGAGAAGAGGTAACGATGACAGTTCATCTGAGTTAGATTTCTTCGAAGTTCGGCATTTGCCAGATTTATTCTGCCATTGATTTTGCTTCGAGGCACTGAAAAGCAAGAAAGAGATGATACTTTGGTAGGGTAGTTGTTGGGGCTAAGGTTTTTTTCAGAGACTGACCTGTCGACTTGACTTTGCGATGCAAGGTTAGACGTTATGGGGGTGGCGAATTTTGCTGATTTGTTTTACTCTCTTTTCTTGCTCTGTGGGGAGCACCTTTTAGTGTTTTTCCATTCAGGCTCCAGCTGCAAGCTGTTTGTAGACGAGCACATCACAAAGAAGTATAACCTGCCAATTTCAGTAACCTAATCCCCTGAAAAAAGAGCACAGGAGTTAGGATGAGTTGATTGGTGCAAGCGTGAGCTGAGAGTGAACGTGTTGGCTCCATGGCTAGCACACGACTTATCATCAGTTTGGCCTGGGAAGATCGTGCCTATTCGGTAGCAGCAGGAGGCTCGAGCAGACAGTGGGCACGCTGCTCTGTCAAAGTCTGCAGTTTCCATCTATTATCGCTATGCAGTTGCGATCGGAAGCTATTTGCACTGGTCTTGACCTTTCGCCCATAAGACGCTATCCAGTATATCCAGTGATTTAGCCTGAGATGCGTACGACTTTTTTTTGTAAGATATTCTATCATATATTTCTATGTATCTGTGATATATCCATGTAAAAAGTCCACTTCAACATTTTGCACTGCTGGTATCACGGTAGAGCGCGTAAGTGGATTTATAGATGAGACGGCCAGGAATTCTGTATTTACATAAACTTGTCTGTTGCATGAATAATGGGCGAAATCCATTCAATGTCACCCAGAATCTTGTGTACTTACTGAAGTAATCTCAAGTAAACTCAATCACCATGTGGAGCTTCGCATTCATGGAGGGTGGAATAGCAGAAGTACAATGGCGAATACGTTACAGTGGTAATGGCTAAAATCGACATACTGGCGCTGATAGAGGTCATAGGGAATGTTCTGACTACATATCCATAGGTCAGCTGTTTCGTGAGATAAATTATGTTTGTTTTATAATTTGTCAAACCTTGAGCTCAGGAACTCAAGGAACTCAGTATTGTGAAAAGCTAGAAATTTGCATTGAAACTCTCTACAATGTGTGTCTCGACACAGCCCACAATAATCATGCACCACAAAGTCTCAATCTCCTCCAAATCAATTTGCGCTATTTTTTTGTAAAGTTCGGCTTTGAAGTCAAATTTGCTAGCTGTCTTGCCAAGCTTTTGCTCTCAAGCTTGAATTTTCCAATGGTTTTACTTTTCCTCATAAATTTTTTTATCAGGCTACAACGAAGCTTGAAATTGTTCGTCTCAGTGGACCTCCTAAGGAAGATAAGTTAGTTATCCAATGGGCAGAGGTATTAAACGAATTTCAATCGCTAGACGTTGACCAGCCCGAATAAGAACTCTAATTTCAAGGTACCGCCTGAAGAAACCGATCCACAAGCACCATTCAAAGCAGGAGCTCAAGCAGGAGAAGTCATCTTACCGCTCAAGGCGGAATAGTTCCCTCCATCAAGTGTTCTTCAAAATAAATGATGCACATGAAAGCTAAGTGTAGTAGAGAATTGGAACATTCAAATCATTATTGCTATTATTGATTTGGCATAAAAAACATTTTCACCGTAGAATACAAGACTTGGTTTTCTCTGTCATTTCTTCATTAAACGGGATTTCGAGCGTACCGAGTAGTTAAACAGGAAGCTGATCTTTGTAGGTACTCTATCTCATTTCCATCTTTATTCGACAATTACACAAGTGCGTTGCAGTGGTAGTGCAGGCGTGGCACAATTTGCACTCGAGCTCCCACGGAAGCAGATCATGCATCATTGTTTTCTCGGCAATTACTGTGATCTTCCTCCAAAATTCGGACTGTGCAAATAAAATGCGTGATTGGAAACACCACTGTTGGAAAGCGCGCCGTTTCCGTTCAGGAACAAGGCCTCGTTTTCGCGAACGATTATACCTTGGAACGGTAATAAACACTGCATACTCTTCTGAGCGCCTCTTGCGAGGTGATATCGCTGAAAGAAGTGCGAGATGCACCATTGGTCTTACTTATCCTTTTTGGGAAACAGTTTCCAGAGGTTTGCCGGATTACTTTTCGAGCGCGCATGATTAAGTGTGCCTGCAATACACACATACACACATAAAGACATACACATCATACATATACAAAAAATGGTTTTCGGCTGTATGAAGAAGTCGTTTATTTTTGTAAATTACAACACACTACCGATCTGAAAAACGAAGATTGACGTGGAGCGAAGCTGAGGCAGAGAAGGAGTAAGCAGTGCTGAAATTATCCGAAAGAGTCCTAAATACACACAAACACAGAGGCTCACATATAAAACAACCAAAATTGCTTACGCGAAGACGAAAAGCTTACGCAAAAAATTGTTTCTGGAGGGGAATCATAATCCCGTATGAGGAAGCCGTAACTAATACAGGCATCTTAGAAAGCATGTCGTAATTCTTCTGATGACTTCGTAACATTTTGAAAATGAATAATACTGTTTATAGACTGTACCTTGTGATATGGCCCGTACCTTACGTTCTCAAAGGAGTTACTGAGAGTGTTCGGGAATTTCAATGTTTCAGTTGTTCTCATGGAAAAACAGTTTTTACAACNAAAGCATGTCGTAATTCTTCTGATGACTTCGTAACATTTTGAAAATGAATAATACTGTTTATAGACTGTACCTTGTGATATGGCCCGTACCTCAAGGGAGTTGGTGAGAGTGTTCGGGAATTTCAATGTTTCAGTTGTTCTCATGGAAAAACAGTTTTTACAACACAAACACACCAGACTGCGAGTTAAGGCTAGAACTTCATAGAGAAAGCAAACAATAACAAAAAGACAAGCGAAACATTAATGCGGTTAGGAGAGGCGTAATTGTTGTCCGTTCACGTAGGAGTTTGCCTTCAAGATGTCATCTCATACATGAGATAAACAGCAATATGAGCGACAAATTTGAAAAGCGATTGGGTGTGATCGCTGAAGTGTTCTCCTGAAGTCGTCACAATACTTCCCGCGAATGATTTCCTGACGATGTTAGCAGCTCTCACCGAATACTGAATTGAATTACTCTCGATCAAGACAGTCTCAAATTTGAACGAGGTAGAATGATTTGACGATTGAATGCGAAAGAAATAAACTATAAGCTGCTGTGCGCTGAACAACACACTTTTTCGTAAGTCAAAAAGGGATATGAAGCGGAAGTTCTCTACTAGCGGTAGACACTCAACCATTTAGCAGAAACAGTGTTACGGTATCCAAAAACCAGTGCGGTGGGAATGAAGGATCCTCAACTTTTGATGATAGGAAACTTTGCACCATGTGGGGTAGTTGACAAGATTCGATTCCGAGCTAGCTACCCGTAGTGTCTCACATATGAAGCAGCAAAAGGGGCATATTTGAATTCAAGGAGCCACAATGCCACTCAGAAAAGCATAATATAAATTTGGTTAGGAATTCCCTAGATTTCACGATTTTATGTTTGAAATAGGATTCCACACATCCTTCATCTTGCATTATTAATTTCTTCATGCCTAAAGAATGAGGTGAATAAAAAAAGATGATTACATTTGATAGACTTAGCAGAAAAGAAAGTGAAGGCATTGAAAATCGAACAGTGAGCGGTGCATGCATAAGAACTGCATGCAACACGAGCGATGTATATCTTAAAGCTCATAAGGTTGGTGAGGAACGTCCGAGATTCTTTTCCATTGCTTCTTCGAATGAATGAAAATTGCGGATTAGCAAGGTTGCTCATGCCGAAAAAAATATCGGGCCGCTGGCTATAGGCTTCGTGCTCCCATAAACAAACTGCATTTTCGTGAGGTCCCACTCATTCTGTTGAGGATTACGCGTGTAAAAATTTTGTGGCTTACGGAGAGCAGGCAGGCTGGGCGGTAGTTGCTATTATCGTCAGGATCTCCCTTCTTATACAGCAACACAGCCTTGTTAGTTTTCCACGTCGTGGTCACTTTGCACTCCGACGGTTCCCGAATGAACAGCCTAGCCCGAGATCTTGTAACAACTGACTAAGATGTTTTGGTTTCCATCGTATCGGGACCGGATGCCGTACAGATCATCGTCTACATGGCCAATTCTAAGATGGAAAACTGTAGGAGCGATGTATCAGTCTTGCCCAGGATGGTAGGTAGCCACGTAGAGGTGACTGTCGAAGAGATTAGAGTAGCAGCCCTAGATGACCTTCTCCATTGTCTTTCGAGATGCAGTGACTGCTCCGTCAGAACGATTAATGAAAGCCACCTTAGCTTGAGGAACCCCCGGCAGCCTTCGCAAGTGCTTTCTCGGTCCTTAGTGACAAGCTGCACGTAGTGAATCGATTCGGAGTACAAAATCATCTCTTCATTTAGAACTCCCATTCCTTCCGTCATGCGGTTCCATCTCAAAATTGTCAAAACTTACCAATAAAATGTACGGATTTATGATTATACGAACTAAATGTGGTTTCGCAGAGCCCAAGCTCTCCTGCCTGTCTTCCTTAGCTGTGCAGTGCTTCACTTCAAGCCAAGCTGTTTTTTCTACCGCAACAAGCAGCGTTTGATTGGTTAAGCTATCCTTGCAATTCACTGGATTGTTGGGGATTTTCTCAAGATAATAGTATTCTATCTCAGTGGATACTTCACAATAAAGGTCTACAAGTTATAAGAAGAAGGGGAGAAAGTGTTTGCATACCTGAGGATTCAAAATATCTCTTCATGATATAAAATCTTTCCTTCTGACGAATCAACGACATCAAGAGGATCTCAAACATGAAGGCAAGCAAAAGGCCCTGATAACTTCCGCTTACATTATTTATGCCCGAAATTACGGTAGCCCCCGCCCATCGTGAGCTTCCTCGCGACGCTACCGCTCCGAGTGCACCAGACGAAGGAATTTTGTCACAATCGGAAAACCCTTCTGACCGAAAGTTGGTGATCGTGCTGGCCTTCGCTCACCGTCCATTTTGCCGAAATTCAGAGTTGGCCTTCAGTTGCACTATACGAAAATTGGACTTTGTGTGGGACCCCTCCGGCCCCGAGCCTGGAGTATTAAAACCGACCGGATATTATGCCTAAATACAAACAATGCTAAATATCAAATAGCATACCTGTCTATAAAATCGACCAGAGCATAGTTTGCAGCAGTAACCATCACAATTACGAACTGAATCGTAAAAAAAATGGAAAAAGACCATTTGTTCCCCTCCTAGTCTCACTGAGAGGCACTCTGTATAACCATTTTAGCAAGGGAGTCTTTTAGCGAAGTTGCTGGAAGAAATGTCATAAAAGACGTTCTTTTTTTGCGAGACTTCCGGTTATGAACTTGTACGACCAAGGATAAGAACGGTACGCTAAAGCGGTGCGTAGATTGTTCACGAGTTCAGGTTACAAATCCCGGAGAACATGTACGTTTAAAGAGATGACAGGTGTGCTACTGGATTCCTTTCGCGTTCCCGGCTACAATAGTAACACGGAACTACTTGAGAATTACCGCCAGGAGTATGTTGTGTTGCAAACACTAAAAGCAATAACTGTATTCTTGCGTACGACCATGTATATCGGGCCGGCACAGATGCGAAAACATCTCAGTCTCTTGCAAACACATGAGTATTCGACCTGCAAAGGAACTTACAACTTCCGCTCCCATGAGAGAAACTCCTCGCTGTTCGATGCCTGTTCTTTGTTCATTTGCGAAGAGGGTTGACAATAGCGTTTGTTGGAGGTGCAGCGAGTAAAGACCGCAACTGGAAAAATATGTTATCATTGGTTTTCCTTGTGATAACCTGAAGGGATTGGAGAAAGACAGAGCCTTCCAGAAACTGAATTTGGGGACGATGCCGTTGTCTCTCCCTCGGATGCGAGGTTTGTTGAAAATTAAAAATCGCTATCTCGTAATAAATAGGATGATTTGTCTGCCTATACACAGTATTAGGGGCGTAGAAATACCGACACTAGAAGACAGAGCCTTGATAGCGATGGCGCTTCGAAGCCAACAGTCAGGGTTGTCAACGATATGTGACAAATGTTACAATCAATCAGAGAGGGGGCTGGGCTTGCATGTTCGAGAGTTGATGGTATTCTTATGTTCGAAGCTAGGCTCAACGCGAACGTCCTAGGCATGTAAACATACGCTTGCTGGAAACTTTATCGCGGTGTCGTCATTGAAGACTCGCGTTTCAACGCAGTGATACTGCGCACAGGCATGAATGTCGGAGAACGGAGTCAACCTACGAATGAATAATCCACATTTGNTGATGGTATTCTTATGTTCGAAGCTAGGCTCAACGCGAACGTCCTAGGCATGTATACATACGCTTGCTGGAAACTTTATCGCGGTGTCGTCGTTGAAGACTCGCGTTTCGACGCAGTGATACTGCGCACAGGCATGAATGTCGGAGAACGGAGTCAACCTACGAATGAATAATCCACATTTGATGCACAAAACATCCGTGGGGCAAGTTTCGTACGGGGTTTCAAGGCTCTTGAAGGACTTGCGAGTTGAAAAACTATTGACCTTATGACTAGAACAAGCACAGAGCAACTATTCGACACGTTAGGAAAGAAGCTTGGAATCACACGTACATGTTTTTAGCGTTATGGAAGGGTTGTTTTGGTGTCACCGCCGCCCGAATACCCTGCTTTTCAGGCTCGCTGACTTTTGTCCTGATTGATTCTAGTGTACGAGTTCATCGTAAGCCAATGTTTCGATTGTAATGAGTTGAGAAATCGATCATTTGTATAGACCTATCAATTTACGAAAGTTTACTATACTCAGCGCTTTAGCAGTTTTAATTGAAAACCACGAGAGCCCATGTTCACCATGGATCCCAGATGCCCCAGTTTGAGATAGATCTCAAAACTCCAGCGAAGTTAGATAAACTTCGGACCACATATCCTAGAATTTTGTGAGTGAATTTTGTTTCTACTAGGAGCTATCCTACATCTTGTTCGTTCCTACGATCTTCTATTCCGAATGGTAGTCATGTTCGAATCTCCAAGGAGTATTCTTTGCGTGAAGCTGTAGAAGATCAACTGGACGTACAGGTTTGGCATCTTCAATGTCTGACGAAGTGTAAGTTAAAGGTCGACTATTAATGATAGCCTCACGTGATATTGCTACAGTTAAGAACTCGTCGTCAGATACGGATTTCCGATTTATGGTTCCGCTCAAACATGATTCCACTGCACCTATCAAACGCTCCTTAAAACCATATTTCTAAGGTGAAGGTGAAATAACGAAATTTCACTGTATGTCACGACTTACAAAGAGTATGTTTATGCTACTTATGAATTTTGATGTTTCGAACAGCGTCTTGATGATTGCATTACCTGATTCGAATGTGGCGGTTCGAAGTAACAGTTTTTGGCGAAATAGCTAGTAAACCGAAAAAAAAACAAGTTCGGTTTATGGGGGCTGGAAGCACGGATAAATATTTCATGTGCTCAGTGGTGGATGGAGCAAATAAAATAAAGTTTGGTGGGACAATGATGTTTTGAAATAGGTGATGCTACTGTGGTGCACTTGTGCACTGATCTTTGATATTGATTGACATCAAAACCATTGACACGTTGATTTGACAGCGCTTTTGGGAATGTGGCTAATACTGAACTTAACAAAAACAATGGTCCATGAGGAAGGGGCTTATATCTGGTGTTTCCTTGTGCTTGGAGGCAGAGTTCACGATAATATTAGGGTATCTAGTTTGAGGTGACTAGTGGAAGTGATAGTCCAAAATAGTGCAGCTGAGAAAATGTGAAAAACGGCGTAATTAGTGAAAGGCTTAAGGCTTTAGGAATGCAGTGGAATCAGGAGTTGGACGGGAATAACGACGATCAGAGTTGCATGTAACGGGTGCTTGGATGAGCAGTCCAAGGGTGCGTGTCATTGCGTATAGCTGGCTACGGTTAGCTGCCTGCGTGCTATGTGAAATCTCAGAAACGATTTTTATCGTCAACTGTGCTTTTAACGGAACGGGTATCTGTGATTGCTTTAATCACGTGTGTCTTGGTCGAGAAGAGAAGTCAACATGAAGCAACAAAGCTAAGTAAGGGGAAGGGTGCAGCGTGGGAGCACCTCGGAATTTCGGAGTAATAGAGAGGACAAAAAACATCTGGGTTCCTTTTTTGACACTGCTGTCCCTCCTGCTTTGATACTCTTGGGAGACTTCAAGTCTACGGAAGCAAAAAGAACATACAGTCAGTGCCATTCAGCTCGCTGTTCGAAGGACGACGCCGGAAATTTTTTGAACTTCTAAGCGTTGATGTCGAAATCGGATCTATTGGCGACACAACAATGTGTGCCGTTCGGATGGGTATGCTGATATAATCATCATTTTACCCGAGATATAGCTGTTGAAGCTGAGAGCAGACAAATGTAACCGATTTCAAAGAAAATTATAGAGTCTTGGTTTTGTTTTCTCCAATAATTGGTTCTCATTTCACGCTATTGGAGTTTTTCCTTGGGGGGGTGGGGGGGTAGAACCAAGTTACGCTCTATTGCAGCCGCGGCAGGGAAATCACAGTTACTTGTCATTAGTCCATATTCAAGATCATATTAACGAATCCGTGCGTACAGTCAGAAGTCCTAATTAATCGAACACCATGCTACGCTTCAATCCTCCTAAAAAAATGAATACCCTGTGAGAAGTTTCCGAGGATAATCGATGTGTCAGAGTGGACTGTTGGGCTGCGAACACGAACGGCGTGCAAATCACCAAGCAATCCGTATTGAGTAGTGAGATCAATGCAGTATCAATGGCTACTTTTGGAGTTCACCGGCGCGAGCACGAGCGAGCGTCCGAGCGTGCGTCAAACCGGCGGTGTGCGCTATGTGTTGCTAATATTGGACGCCGATGGATTATGCGCCAGTGTTGTCAACAAGTGGCTAGCGCCGCCGTCGGTCCGTCGGTAGGTCAGACACACGGTCGAGACGTACACCGCTGAACTCTGAAAGCAACCAACAGACATCCTGTTTCGTTACATGTTTCTCACCCATGTTCACATGCGCCCAAGTTACATTTCACAATTCTCATCGTGCCCACGTCTACGGACGGACGCACAAACCGACATACAAATAAACACGCAAAGTTACCGCTTTATTTTATAGAAATACAGATATTCAGCTAGTATAGCCCAGACCAACCTGTCATTACTTCCTTGCGTTCCGCTGAAAACAAAAACACTTGTTTCAGAGAAATTCAACACGGTACATATAGGGAGATATTGAAAAGCTTTATTAAGTACAACATACAAAAACGATACAACGTGTAAGCCAATACGTACAACTGCTCATGCGAAAGAAGAAAATACTGGCTCATATGTGGTTAGTCGCAATGGATTTCGATATACAGAGATAAAGTGGGTTGAACCTAAGGGGAATATTATTGAGGTTGACAAATGGAATGATAAAGCGGGACACATAGAAGCGGTATAATTAAGACTTATCAGTAGTGACTTACAATGATATAAACAAAAACGAAAACGCATTTTTGCTCTCATAATCGCGTAAAATCAGAATCAATACTTCTTTATTTTGCTATACATATTTATGAGCATCACAAGCAAATTATGCCTTAATGGCTTAATTGGAGATGATTCGGCTTCCCACAGGTTTAGTCCGTATTCAAGGAGTAAGAAAATAAACATCTCATGATCAAAGGTAAAGATTCCCAGTACATCTGAATATACAGTAAAAACCTATATTTTGAAAGTTTACGCCAGCTCTCGTCAAATTGCATTATAGTGGCGTGATGGAAAGGTATGCATTAGACGTCTTTGCTTTTATAGAGATATTTTGAAGAATGTTATAGTCTAGTATTGACCTAATGGCACAACGATGCAACGACAGACAAGGGAAGCTCCTCTACGGTAACGTATGAGCAGTATGCATTTCTAATTACTCTTGAACGAATTTCCGCACTTTCTTGCCATACAGGAGCGGACGAAATTGTAAAAAGGACTCTCACACAATAGAGTGAAGACGATGACGAAGGCATGCACAAATTTAGAGTGTTACGAGGATCACCGCGCCTGGTAACACGAATTAGAATCACGAAATGAAGCACAGCCAAAAGTGAGAGAATGCACTTTGGTGTGAAGATATCACGCACGCTGCCATGCGATTGATGAGATCACAAGATTTCATCAAAGTTAGTCTGAATAGAAAAGTATTAGTAGGCTCACAAAGAGAATTACGAAATTCTTGTATCTTCAAAAATTTTCTATCATATTTGACCTTGCATGATCTTTGTTTATGTTCATGTAATCTTAAAAAGAGCTCTAAAATTAACTCTTTGAGAGTTTTCCGCCAAATCGCGCTTGAGAAAATTTTTCAAAATGCTGTTTCTATGCAATTTGAACGACCGTATAAAACTTTGCCGTGTTCCTGTTCACTCATAAAAAATCTAGAAAGCCTGTACAGGTAGGTAACCTTGCAAACATCATCGAAGAAGTGCACACTGTAATGAACGTATTCGAACTGGAGCATGTGGTCTGACTAAACTCCGCCAAACTCAAACGCGACCTGGATTGAATGATAGCCACCTTGAGGACTCCGCTGAGGTAAACCTGTCTTCTTATGCCACCTACAAACCTTATGTTATACGAAATTGTTTCATGGAAGACCGACTGCGTTCTAGAATGAGTGCACGCAATCCCCATACCTCGCAGGTAAGGAAGACGGAACTAAGATGGAACTGTTCCAGCCGGATTATGGGAATCAACTCTTGCCCAAAAAATTCATTATTGCTCAGACACTCTCGGTGGTTCGCCTTTCTCACTACCTTTTCGCAGCCCGCTCGGTAACCCTAAGCCTTGTAGGTGCGATCCCCATAAGCGATCCCCAAAGCGTCCGTCTCTTTACCGGTCTCTCCTATTGCAAGATATAGAACATACTACACGTGCCTATTTAGAAGTATCCCCACCTTTTGGGCGCACTGTGCCCGATATACAGAAGGCCGGAAAATGCCATGTTGGACAGTAACTCCAAATCCACTTAGTTCCACTCTTCTAAAACAAATATGCTTAAAGCTTTAGTTGGTTTACAACACAGCATAAGATAAAAGGATAAAGTCTTTGCCGTTAATCATTTCCGTCTGAGAGGTGCGCCCCCGCATTCGACTTTCATTCAGGATCGTAGTGGCATATTGAATGCGTATGCGACCGCTACAGTGACTTACGGTGGCCATCCGATGTTCAATTCAGCGCTTTTATCCTCCCAGACGAGTCTGACACCAATTAGCCGACCCCGAGGGAATGGAAGGTTTGGATGGCCTGGGAGTTATCGATCTGGTTTCGAACCCGTGACCATGCGAGTGGTAGCTTATAAAAAGGTTTGGGAAGGAACATCCACGGGCTCTCATTGACAATAAATTTGCAGCTATCAAATGCGTTCATAAATAAGTCTTGTATTGTGTGCACAGCATCAGCTGATATGATTGCTTGCCAGTGCTCCTGTGCCATCTCGAGAAGACCACCCAAGGTAAGAGGGGGGCTGGATCTTCAGTCAACGCCTTTTATTTATGTAAATCAAAAGCAGCATGATGGAATTTGACGAGCTGGTGTATGTTTGATGGATGCCACCACGTATTATCTACTTTCGGAACAACGAGGGGATGCTCACTTCACGTCAGCCACCCATTCACGACACAGGAAAGTGAGTTGTAAAAACAGATTCTCGGCAAAAAAGGTGGTCAAATGATAGAACTCAGCCTTTTACCACTTCGATCGACGTGAGTACCAATTGTATAGATAACTATTATACTTCAATACCGTTCCCAATATTAGTCGTCAGACTTTCGTATAATAAATAAAGTCGGATTAGTGCTAGTTGCAATTAGTAATAGGAAGGAAATAGTTTATTAGTTGAAGATAGGTTAACATCTTTGCTGAAAGATATATTCATGTAGTTGAAGTAATGAATGAAAGGTTAAGAAGTTTCGAGGGACTCATCCCTTTTTTCAGGAATGGAAGTGTCTGTAACAATACGGCATCGGTGGTCGAGAAAACGAGGGAATCTGCAGAATTAGCGAAATATACGGCTTCCTAGAACTAAATGAAGTTGTGCGTTATACGTGATTATGATGACGAAGTGGGCTAGTGAAGGTGATTCTAGTCATGTACGGGTGCGTGAGGATGCAGCTACACCCTGCAACCCTGCTGCCCGAGATTGCTTCCTACTTTCGCTATGGGTCAGTCTCGGACGACCAATTGCTCGAAGTTTCAACATGTGTTCTTTTGTAAAAAGTTTAGCCTCCAAAAGGCCATCGAAACCGGCCATTCCTGCGTGTTCCCGGAGATCGAACTGAACTTGGAACCCTCATTGCCTTGTATAGACCGTTTTCCGATCCAACAAAGTTCTCGGTGGCATACTTGGGATTCCAGAGAATCGTTCTAAGGCAAAACATGCAAAAAACATATCGTAAACTGGGACTTCATGTTGAAGATAGAAATTTCGGTCCTCCTCTAACAGGCTGCTACATAAAAAGAATTCTCGGTAAGTCGTACTTCAGCTGCATAAAGCGAGAAAAGATCAGTCTTTCTTACTTGGAAGACTTTTTTGGTATGAAGGAAACTATGACACTGTCCATGGTTCACAGCGACTTATGGTGTTAATTTATTGCTGGTTACCTTCAATGTAGCGCATGATAGATAGATATGATGAACTGACTGTTATGTAGAGACCCGTACGTGACAGGAGCGATTGTTATTGTAAGTGAATTTGTACAAAATATAATGAATATAATACAGCACAATATTACACGCTGCTCACATCTGAATTACATGTCTGCTCTCGGATAGAAGGTAATGAAAGACTTCGATTGTCGTCCATTGCCATCGAGTTCATGCGATTATTAATATCCGCATTGTAGCCAGCCTGAAAACGTACCGTTACAAAGGTGCACCAATCCTCCGAATATAAGCACCTAAATGGACCAAAATGCATATATCTAAGCCCATACAACTAGAACAATCGCCATGGTTCTATGGGTAAGAGAAAAAGTTGTTGAGCTCAATACAACAAACTAGGAACCTCATTCCCCTAGATTATGAAGAAGTAAAGGATGGTTTCTGTATAGCGATACCCACTTTCTCACCGGGTATGGGTACATTCACCCAAAACTGGATGGACGCGGCAAACCGCGCGGCGAAGTTCGTGGTGATTAAAACGGCTATGGCGCCTATCATTGGTGCACGGGTTTCAAGTAGATTAGATGTGTAGGGCCAGCTGATGTTACTTATCTATCCCACTTCAAATTCGTGCCTGAATGATAGGCGCCAGAGTCGTTTTAATCACCACGAATTTCGCCGCGCGGTTTGCAGTTCTGGATGAATGTTCCGTCCCCCATCCTCACCCTCTACTCCACCGGACAAAACAAGAGGCCTTTGAGATACTTCAGTAGAAAAAACTCCATCAGCGAATTCTTTCAGAAAATAAGATTCGCGGAAGAGAAATACAGGTGATAAGAAAAAAAAA